ATAAGAGAAGAGAAGAGAAGAGAAGAGAAGAGAAAAAAAGAGAAGAGAAGAGAAGAGAAGAGAGGAGAAGAGAACAGAAGACAAAGCGCTGCAACAGGGTCGATAAAGGGAAGGTTGGAAAGGTCCAAAGGATAGCTCGTTGCACAAGAAATAATTTGTAGTAAAGTGGAGAGCTCAGCTAGCTGGTAAGATTACATCATATTAAAAAAGTGCACAGTCACTTTACCACAGATCATTTATTGATCAACGAGCTCTTCTTTGGGACCTTTCCAACCTTCCCTTCATCGACCCCGTTGCAGCGCTTTGTGATTTTTTTATCTTTCCTTCCTTCCTTTTTGTGCTCTGTTTTAAAATGACGTCATCTTACCAACTAGCTGAACTCTCTACTTCACTAAGTTATTTTGGCATGCCATCGAAAGCACCCGAAGTAGTCTTCAATATTCAACAATGGCGTCCTCAGGTCGCTACTCATGCAACTAGTTCTTGATTCCACTTCCTTTGTGCTGTATCCACCCATTTTATAAGCATATTTCTCTTAGCAGGAAGCAGTTCGTCCTCTTCTGTATCTAACAGTGCTGCTGCCATAATCACGTGTCAATGTTCCATCTACGCCCCCATTGTTCTACTCTCGTCAGCACGCACCAAGCCCTGTTGTCAAGTGTGCGACCACTAAATGCATCTGATAACACTGCCATTTTTTTTTTTTTTTTAGAGAAAATATTTAAGTATGCTTTTTTCTACGAAGAAAATACGCTTTTTTTTCGATTTTGACTTCGGAGGTTTTAAGCATTCATAATCTCCATTAACGAATGCACCACCTTCGGGCACCTCAGTAGTAAATCCGAGCGCGATACGTTGAGAAACCGATTTTCGCGGACCATCTAAAGTGAGATCGCATATTAGTTAGGGTTGTGTGGATATTTAGACAGCGTGTAGTTGGTCAGTCATTTCAAAGTTGCGCCGAGTAACTCGCTGTGGATGAGAAATTTATCCAGTGCAGTAAAACCCCTACCCTGGGGTCTTTAACGTGCACCACGCAGTAGTGATACAGGACCACACGCCGGTACGATGCTCATCCAGGCCGAAACGGGCAGGGGTGGAGATTGAACCCAAAATCCCTGGGTTCTGCAGCGCGAGCTTTCGCTCCACGTGCTCCAAGCTGGTATGCGCTAGCCCATTCTTGGCGGCAAAGCGAATAGAGAGATGTCACCAAGCATTCGGTGCATGAGTGAAGCCGCCGTAACTTTAGTTCACAGAAGGTAAGGTAAGCTCGAGACGATTTGTACGGTCTCGTGCAGTGTGCGCGCAGAGCTTCAGCTACGTTCTCACACGTGCAGAAAGACTAAAATTCCATCGATGCATTGCGGCAGTAGTGGCGTCGCTAAACCGGCTAGTCAGATCGGTCTATTCAGCGGCACATATGGCACGCCCAATGAGCTCGATAGCAATCCTGCCCACAAAAGCGGTCGTTCGCTCGAGATCCCATTCCACGCTCGTGGGGTGGCCAAATGGCTCCCTCGCCTGGTTAGACTCCCGTAGGACCCGGAATATTGGCAAACGTCGCGGACGACTAACATTACCCTGGATTTCTACAGGTAAGCTTTGCTTTCGTTCCATCAGATTCTTGATCAATCCATTCCTTGAGCAAGTGTCAATAATTACTGACAATAGAAAAACCATCATGTGTTAGTTTGATCTACGCAGGATCGGTCATGCTTAATGCCACGTATATAAAACAAAAATTAATACGCACCGCTAATTCAGAAGAGAACGGTGGAGGTAAACACATCGTGGTATCACAAATCCAAAATAATGAAGCCTTCAACTTACGGGCTATTTGCCATTCTCTTGGAGTGCGCCTTCGCGTTAAATATCTCAGATGCACCCCCCCCCCCCCCTTTTTTTCGATCGCAAGAACAGTCATAAAGCCTCGTATTATATATTTTGGCTCTGAAATATACCCGCGCAGGAATAGTTGAAACACCCATTTCCGGTATGGACTATTGAAATCCAAATGTTTGCCGACAGATTAATACCGAGCGAAGTTCGAGTGACGCAGTGCTCGTATCCCTTTAGTGAGCTGGGTTCGGCTGACATGTTGGAGCACTGTATATGCATCACAGTGGAAAAGGAAAAAACTTTGCAGAAAAGTGAAGAAAAAAAAACAATCCGCTCTTATTCGCATAGTAGTTGCGAAGTACAAATTACGTTTCTGACTCTGTAACATCATGTTCTAGTGCTCTTTTGCTCGTTGACGGAGCTCAAACTCAATGTTGTTCCATGGTGCAGTGAAAAAAACTTGACACTAAAAGACACCGATTTTGTGCAGCTTTTCTTCTTCTGTGCCCTGAGGCTTTTTTCAGGCTCGCTTGACTGTAGTGCTATCTTGTTATGGAACAAAGAGCTTTGTTCCTTCTGCACTTACCGTATTTTATGCAGACCGTAGATGTTGAGCCATCCGCCTGGTCTACACCGTGTCTCGCTGTCGATCGCAGGTAAAGCAAGCCAGGCTCCAAATATCAAGCTAGTGGACAAACTTGTCGCTGACGACGACGCTAAAAAGAAAACAAAATTGAGACCAACCGAAGATCCCAAGTAGAGGTCAAAGAAGGAGAAGAAGCAGCCGGGAGGAGGCAAACTTCAAGAAGAGTGCTAAGAGCAAGACAAAAAATAGGTCATCGTCTGAGCGGCGGAAGTACCAAAAAGCAGGGATGCTACCCATGAGCAACGACAAGTCAGTGCCCTTCCTCTAGATCCGCCTGCTGAGAACGCTACCAAAATGGGAAGCAAAGAAAGGGGAAGAAGAAAAAAAGGCAGCAAGAAAAAAAAGAAGAGGGCAGAACCTGAACAGGCCCCACAGCTGGAGCTTCTTCCGCAGGTTTCACATACAGAGGAGGTTCCTCCGGTGAGTGCTTTTGGTCAAGAAACGATAACGGCACACTCCATGAAGAAAGGAAGTAAGAAAAGAAAGGGGAAGAAGAAATGGGGCAGCAAGAAGAAGCCTCTTATACAGGTTGCAGCCAGCAAGGAAGTTCCCCCGGCGGGGTTTGATTTTGGGATGAAGAAAAAAACAAAAAAGAAAAAAAGTAAAGAAAGAGTCAAGAAGAAAATGAAAGGACATCCGGGGAACGTCCCTTTTCCTGAAGCACTTCCTGTAGAAGCTCCGCCCCCAGGCCACCCTCTCGCCGAGCCGGAAGCAGACACCGCAAGGAGAAAAGGTAGCACGAAAGAGAAAGATATGGGCATTCCACTTCCTCCTGAGCCACAATCTTTTTACAGTTCTCCTTTGACTCCCTCTGGAGAAGCACCAACGGCTGAGACAAAGTTGACTATACCAAAGAGGAAAACTAGGAGCAAAAAAAAGAAATCGAAAATGTCAAAGACGAACAGAATGGAAGCATTGCCTGGAGATGGTGTCCCGCCTCAGGAGCTGTTCCCTGGAGCTCCTCTTGCAGAGCACCCTACACCGGGAACAGAGATGGTGCAGGAACAATACGACCAAAGAAGAAAAAAGAAAAAAAGAGGCAGTAAAGAGAAGAAAGATAGATCCTCATCAGCGACCTCCCCTCTGGCCCGCCTGGGCAAATTCTTGCGCCCCAAATCTAACCCTGCTCCTGATGGAGACATGGCCGCTCAGGCGTCAGGATCTGCAGACGAAAGTAAACAGTTCAAGCGCAAAAGAAAAAAAAGAACGAAGGGAGGTGCAGATCTTGAACCTCTTTCCCTGGAGGAAGCCATTTTACAACAGGCTATCATAGATCAGGGACTTCCAGCCGCAACCTTGCCAGTGCAGGTGCCACCGGGCGACATCGGAACCGAAGTGGTCGAGGTTGGGGTGGAAACAAAAACTAAAAAGAAGAAGAAACAAAAGAAAAATAAAGAATTAGCTGAGTTGATTCCCGCTACAGCAATTGCTTCGGTGGACGAAGAAAGCAAACAGAAAGAAAAAAAGAAACGGAAGAAAAAGAAGGGCGGCAGTACTCCAGGAGAAGGGACACCATCAGAAGCTAGTTCAGATGAATTGTCGTCATCCTTGGAAACCTCTAGCGGGGAAGAAAAAAAGTCTGAACCAAAGAAAACGATTGCTTCCATCGAGCCCGAGGTTTTAGATGCCAGAGCAGCTGAAAAGAATCGAAAATCAAGGAAGAGTAAAGCTGCTCCTCTCGAGGACGCTCGACTTGTTCCGACTAGCTCCATCTGCTCCGTCTGCAAGCTTCGTTCTACTTCGACGCCTTCGACAGGGACGACGGTCTACATGACGCCGTGTTCTACACCGACCACTGATCAAACGACCCCAGCTCCAGAGGCGCTGAATTTCATTCTAAATGCCATCACAAAATACTGCGAGAAGGCATCGAAAACCTGCAATCTCAGTGCCACAGATTTAAATTTCACGATAGTGGGACCTTCCCCGCTGGGGCCTCCCGGATCGACGGTGCGCGTTATTCGAGGGGACGACAGTTTCGCGCAGATGCCCGAAAAATCGGTCTCACAGCAGCCTGGCCGTGATATTCAGGCAACGCGATCTACGATATCGATTTCTTCTCGCGAAAAGAGGGCTACTTCGGGCAGAAGAAAGAGAGCGATACAAAGGCGTTTTATTGATATGATGCCAGGAACGCAGTCGACGATAAACATTCCGCCCCGAAAAGGCAGTGTGGTGATAAACGTCAGCTACCCCGAGGAACCTGTTGAGCCAGACATGACTCCGGCGGAAAGCGGTGTGTCTTTCCTCCCACCCAGCAGGTCGTATTCCTGCTCTCGTGCGCCGGCATGTCCCAACTCCACGTTCTGTGATGATGAGACAATCCTGCCAGGACATCCGCCTGACAGCAACTCTTCTAGGGTTTACTGCCACCCCGAGTCATCTGGGTATAGCTGTGACTGCGGGCAGAGTTTTTCTGTCGATGAGAGCGTTTCCTCGGAGTATCCACCGGACAGGTACCGCCTTCCATCGGAAGTTTTTCCCGAGGAGTTCAGCTTGTCTCCTCAATCTCAAGTGGTGACGAAAAGAGCCTCACAAGTCAAGAAAAAAAGAAAGCAAATAAAGCTGGGAAAACCAATATCGCGGCACATACACAAGCTACACAAAGTTCTTCAACAGCCCCAACTTACTCTGCAGCCTCCACAGCAAAAACAGCAGCCACCCACGCAACAGCCACAGCAGCTTCCGTCCCCAGTGTGGCTGCAAGTAAAAGGAGCTTTGCCACAAGAGCAGCAAAAGCAGCTGAGACAAATTCTGCAGACACAGCCGTCTCCACAGGTGCAACCACGGCAGTACGGTCAAGAAGGAATGACTATGCCGAAAGGGCAACCTCAGTGGCAACAGATAATATTGCAATCAAGCCTTCTTCCACAGGAAAAACTACTGCAGCAACCAGGGCCACAGTCGCAAACTTTGCCCCTATATTTGTCCAACGCGCCCCCACTGTTTCAGTCAACACGGCAGCAAGGGCCTCACTTTCAGATTCCTGCAATCACCCAACAACAAGTCCTGCCTCTGAATCAGCAACAACTGCATCTAGGCTATACAGAACAGCTGCAGCAGCAGCTGCAACTCCCACCGCAAATACCTAAAAAAGGTTTCGAATACGCACTACCCCAAGTAAGGTATCAACGTCAGCCACCTTTTGATCAGCAATATTTGCTAGAACAGCAACAAGAATTAAATCAAGAGCTGCAGAAACAAGTGGCTTTGCTGACTTATCAGCAACAGCAGCAGGGTCAGATACCACAGCAGCAAGGCTGGCCTCAAAAAAGGTCAAAAATTCTGCTTATTCACCAGCAGTTGCAGCCCGATGAATACTTGGAGTCGATCGCTGTTGATGGGCAACCAATTTACAACCAGATCGACCCGCCGCCTGGTGCGATGCAACAATTGCCACCACTCATGCCGCAACAGCTGCAACCGGACAGCCCACAGCTGGAACCGAACATGCAGCCACCTCCGGCGCACATGCAGCAATTTCAACCTCTCCTTGTTCCTATGCAATATCCCCAAATTCCATTGCAACGTCCCTGAAGCATGAATACATTTTCACTTGCGAGCCTCTCAGAAGATGAGATATCAGGCATACCCGGGTACCCCAGGAGCTAATCATCCAGAGGTTAATTATTTGAGTTTATCTGGTGTCTAAATCAGTTCTAAAAATCCAACCATATCCAAGAAGTTTAAATATAGTACGTCGGAAGCTGCAAGCTATAAATACTCTCCCCGTCGCACCTTATGTCTCAGTCCGTGAGGCCGCAGCACCAGCGTTCAATCATCTTCAATCTACCAGTCGGATGCATTCTTGTTACGCGTCAAGTTCTCTCTTGCATCAAGACATGTAAGTAAATATGTTTAATGACCACAAGACACAGATATTTTTATTTTTATTAATGCTAAAATGTAAAACAGAACACTAACAGCATAGCCGCTTCGTCAATAGGAGCGTATCTTTGGTATCCGATATGCGTATCAACGTATAAAACCTACTTTTTTTTCATTTACATCGTATTCGAACGCTCGTTTTGACGAAAACCCGGTGGTGTATTTCGTTTGCCAGCGCCGAGGAGAGAGGAAGAAAGAGGGGGAGAGGGCGTGCGACGCTCTCCTTGGTCTGAAGTGCTGACGTCAGCACGCGTCAACCTCTACCTCTCTCCCCGGCGCTGACAAACTGACAGACACCGCCGAATTTTCACCAAAACGAGCCCTTTCGTTTTCGGCAAACCACGCGCACAGCTGGCTCGGCGCCAGAGAGAAGGCGCCGCGAAGCACCTCCTAGAGAACGAAGCCGTAGTGCGAAATAAGATGGCGTCATCAGAGAAGGCCAACGCTGGACACAGATTGAAAACTAGTGCTGCGTCAGCGCTCGGCTTCGAGTTAAGTTTGAGCCGAACGTTGCCGTAATCGTCATGTCCAACCTGTGCCCAGCGTTGGCCTACTCTGACGACGCCCTCATTCAGCGCTACGGCTTCGTTATCTAGGAGGCGTTGCGCCGCGGCGCGGTGGAATGCGGTTGTACTATAGTTGCAGCTCTGACTGCGCTGGTTGTTCTTCGCTTTGGGTTTTCATAGTAGCGATGCGTAAGCTGCGATGTGTGTGTGTGCATTTAAAAAGATGGATGCGGTTCCTTCCACGAGTGGTATGTACGTAATTCTTTCCACGAGTGATATGGATGACCGCATCCAAGTGCGTCGACGTACTCTGACAGGCAGAAAACGGAAAAGGATGAAAAAGGGTTGACTCTTAGGGAATCCGCTAGCATGACCCTTGGCAAGACATCAAACATGTCCCCCTTTGAGAAACGCTAACACTGACCTTGAAACGAGTCCAAAAAGAGGCAGCGCAAAATAGAAGCAAAAGAGAAAGCCAAAAGAGAAAAGTGAAGGGGTCAGCGTTAGCGTCTCCCAAAGGGAGACGTTTGCGTAACGTTTGTACGGGTCATGCTAACACATTCCCTAAGAATCCATCGAGGGCTCTTTCTTTCATTTTAGTTTTCGTCTCGTCTTGTACATAAATGCAACTTCTCCGCTGTAACGTATTTGCTCCGATATATTGAAAAATTCGCTTCTAAAACAAGTAGACCTGTAATCATGAACAATCGCTTTACGTGCGTAAACAGCGTTAGCCGGACGGCCTGCCAGGCGTATACAGACCAAGTATCAATTAACACTAAAAGTCAAAGGTATTCTTTAAAAAAAAAAAAAACATGCAGGCGCTTCTCTAGAAAAGCAGTATCTTGACTTTTAGGCGGATTTAAAATATTATATTGAAGTGGTATTTTTTTTATTAATATTACGCTGTGACAGGTAACGATCATTATCTACACGTAGCGGAACAAGAATTTTGGTCTACTAAAACTAAATGACATTAAACCCTTTCGAAAGTCACATGAACTCGAGAGAACAGCACATGTCTGAACAGCACACGACAAAACAGCAGGATCAAAACAGGCCACGTCGAAAGAGCACGCGACGAAACAGCACTGCGTCAATACAGCGCAGCGACAAAGGAGTACATGCCAAAAACAACACAGCGTCAAAACGTTACAGCGACAAAACATCCCGCACATAACGTATGTTTTTCTTCCTCAATTTGATCTTGTGTTAATGGCATGTCAAGAGAGCGTTCATATCGTCAGGGATGAAGGCTCAGAAAGGATCAATAATGAAGTGAAAATAAAGGTTTAATCGGCGAACTTGTGCCAGGGAACAAAAGAATGAACGAGCGTCGAGAAAGCAGCAGCGAGCGTCGAAGGCGAGTGTCGTAATGGCAGCTGGACTGGAGCGAAATGAGAGCGACAAGAGAAAATGAATCAGCATGGCCGCGGTCGGCTCCTTACCTACTACGCTTGGTATCTCGAATATTCGATCCATGCGGAGAGCAAATCGTCTGCTTCTTGCGCAGGAGTTTCGGTTACGTCAGAACGACGCAGAGTTCTTATTGGCTTATATTGGAAGGATAGTGGGTAGGTCTGAATGCTAGATGCCTCAAGGTCTACCCACTATTTTTTTTTTCCAATCAGCCAATAAGAGCTCGGCGTTTTGACACCATTGCAACCCCTGTGCAAGAAGCAGACGAGCTTGCGCTCTGCAAACTTCGTTTTAGCTCAAGTCCAGACGCAGACGACGCTACAATCTAATGGGAGCAATCAAGCAGCGCTCAAACGAAAGTCACTAGACGTTTTTTGTTTATGATTGGCTCAGCGATGATAGTACACGTACACGAACAGGACGAACAACATGATGGTGGTGCTTATGATGCTACCTGATTGGTCCCATCAGCTCGTAACGTTGACTGCGTCTGGGCTCAAGCTGAAACGAAGTATAGAGTGTTCGGGAGTGAAATATGGCGAGACTGACTCTGCAAGGTCATGTCGGCCCCCTCATCTTTCACAGAGAGTAAAAAATGAGGAGTAAACTTAAACTACTTATCTTGTATAGCGTTAGTTCTTTTTTTGTAAAGTTTCTCAAACATGTAGTACAGATGTCATGTTTTAATTTTGTATAAATCATTAGTGCCTGCATCCATAGAGTTATTATAATGTTCGCTAGAGGTTCAACTGGCGCTAGTGTCTACTTCCGGGAGGCAAATTGAAGCAGACAGCAACCAGTCTACTTTAGCAGTGCTCTTGTGCATCACTATGGGAAAACGCGCGTACATTTTGTCTCTTCGCCGGAAAATAACATGAATAACTTTTGTTATTTCGGTTGTACCGGATATTATATACCTTTATTAATATTGGGAAAACGTAATTGCTTTAGTTACAGCATTTTTCTTTACCACTGAACGATATTAAACGTCGCTGTATTTCAGGCCCAAATCTCTGCACCATGGAAGGTATGTAAAAACGAGCGACGATTCCAAGCGACATAACGACCGAAAGGAATGTAGAGTGTGTTTAAGGTTAGCTAGCATTCCGGCGGCGCTTATATATTGCTAATATATAAGCCTGTCATTATATGAAATTGACCCCGTCGTGCTCGTCTTTACGATTGGTTAAAAAAACATTCGCACGTAAAAAATAAAGTACGTGGGCTACAAAAGGTGTGTATTTTTATTATTTCCCATGTCGGGCAGTTTTTATCGGGCACCTGTTCTCTGGCTTCTCCCTATTTTTAAAGATTTGGAGCGTGCGAGTGATGATTTGAACCCAGAACAAGCATCTTCGCACATATTCACGAGCAGAAAGAATAAAACAGTACTTATTTATTGGAAATCGGACTATATTACGTGGCTTTCAATTTATGTTCATCATCTGCATGCGCAAAAAGTTGCTAATCTAGTGTTCCAGCGTAGTTCTTCCAGTCTCTCTTAATTTTCCACGTGTCCTTCGTTCGTTTGGCACGTATATCCCCCACGCTAGAAAGCGCCGACGCCGTGTTCGCGCTAACAGTGTCCGACAGTGCACATAAATGCATGTACGAAGCAGTTTTAGCACCGTTTTTCATGCCAGGAATTTAAAATAAAAACGCCGTAACTGACCAATTATTTCGTCTGCGTGACTGAGAAATGTTCCAATGTGCCCATAGTACGTACAATTATTCGTGATATTTGCTCTTATAATCGAGCGCAGAGAGAAAATGCACTCGTTTTTTCCCATAGAAATGCATTACCGGAAGTCAATTTCAGACTGGTTGCTGTCTGCTTCAATTTGCAGCACCACACTAGCGCCAGTTGAACCTCTAGCGTACATTATAATAGAGAGTTTTAGTAGATCGTTCCCATGACTCCGATAACGATACCCGATACTCCGCCACCGCCTCCCTTGCGCATGCATAGTATCGTTATCGGGGCTATCGGGGGTATCGGAACGATCTACTAAAACTCTCTAATAACACTATGCCTGCATCGCGATTGCTGGTATAGGTGGCTCGGGGCTCGTTAAGCTGTTTTTACAGCTTTTTTCCCGTGTTACCTGAGCACGGAGAAGCTTTCCTTCTCGGTCATGTACGCGGCAGTATTTATAACGTGTGCAATTATATTTCATCTAGCCACCGCTGTTCAGGTGCAAATAGTTTGTAACATCGTGAATGTTTTAAAATATTTTGTGGGAAATGCGATAATACCTAATTAATCATAAATTTGGTCTGTGCGTTTTTGCTTAAAGTCAGGGGTCTCTGAACCCTTTGAGTAAGGGGCCGGATCGGGCATGTGCCGTTGTCTCGGGAGCCGGGAAATAAATAAGTATAAATAAGGAAAAACAAAATGAGTTATCCTAGATAAATCTATAGATAAAAATTAAAAGTTAGAGTAAAAATTTAAAAACACAAAATGTGTTCGAGTTTACGCATTCTATTTTGAAATACATTATTTAAATAATTATGACGCACAATAATTGGAACCGCGAAAACCCTCTAGGCATAAATCAAAAAGCATGTAGAAACTTTGCTAGGCACTATAGACGGGGCAGCATTATGCAATAGATACGACAAAGAACTCTACGGACAATATACATGGGAACGTAAATGACTTT